CCCGACCCAGCCCCGACCCCGACCCCTGCCTGACCCTGACCCCTGTCCCGACCCAGCGCCTACCCCGACCCCTGCCCGGCCCTGACCCTGGCCCCCACCCCTGCCCGACCCTGCCCCCTGCCCCCTGCCCCGGACCCAGCCCTGGCCCCAGCCCTCTAGTCCCACAAGGGGCTGAGGTTCGCCCAGGACGGTTTGCAGAGGGCGGGTTTCATGCTGAGAAAGCTAATGAAGACAGCCAGAGAAACATCCCAAAGGAAACAGAAAAGCGACTTCCGCTTCCAAGGTGGGCACCGGCGCCTTGCTCCTGCACCACGAGTGGCACCACCTAGACAAGGCCCTGACAGACAACAGAAAACAATCCCCAAGAGGCGGGGTCCCCTGGCAGGGAGAGCTCTGGTTGTAGTGTGGAAAGGCGCTGGCAGGGCCTGGGCTGGGCTGGCCATGAGAAGTCAATCCTGAGACCCGAGGATCGCAGTTCAAAGACAGCATGGGCAGTAAAGTCCGTGAGACTTTGATCATCAATGACCACCAAAAAGCCAGAAAGGGAGCTATGGCTCAAGTAGTAAAGCTTTAGCCTTGAGCAGAACAGCTCAGGGATGGCACCCAGGCCCTGAGTTCAAGCCTCAGGACTGGCACAAAAATATGTTGAAGAAATAAAGACCTAGCCGTGTCCAGATTGGGTGAAACATAGAAGTGCACCTTCTCACACTCTGAAGTCCACACCTGTGAGCCCAGGGAACTGGAGATCACACCGAGAAATCGCACACGCGCCTCAGAGCCAGCGTAGGGGCCGGAGAGCGAGCACCTGCTCCCAGCCAGACGCCCACTCAAGACGCCTTGCAGCGTGGAAGCGCAGCGGGGACCCCTCCCGACGCACAGCGGAGGTGGCACGCTGGGCAGACTGATGAGCAGATGCTGCCCCGCGCGCGCCGTTTGCCAGTGGCTCGGAGGCTTGCCCCACGGCCCCCTCACGCGCGCTCCGCCTAAGTCAGTTGGTTTTGCACTGGTTACTTGGGGGGGAGGGGTTTGCTTCCTGTCCCGGTGTGAGCCTGTTTCTCCTTCCATAGGGTAACTGCTGTATGCAGCTATGTCCAGCTGTTGGTGAAGGGGTCTCAGGATTCTTGCCAGAGTTGGCTTAAGTTCTCAGTAACTTTTCTTTTAGATAAACAATTCAGTTTGAAGATGTGAACGTGGCGCCACCTCACCACAGCTGGTCAGGGAGCAGCCTGTGTACATGCCACAGTTTTTACCCCCAACGATTTCCCACACTGTGGCTTACTATTCTGGATATTTTCTTCTTGAGAGTCTTCTGGCTCACTAGTTCTCTCTTCAGCTACATCTAGCCTGATGTATACTTTATTTTTTATTTTTTTTAATTCATTTTTTGGTCAGTCCTGGGGCCTGAACTCAGGGCCTGGGCGCTGTCCCTCAGCTCTTCAGCTCCAGGCTAGTGCTCTACCACTTGAGCCAAAGCGCCACTTCTGGCTTTTTCTGCTGATGTGGTGCTGAGGAATGGAACCCAGGGCCTCCAGCATGCAAGGCAAGCACTCTACCACTGAGCCACCTTCCCAGCCCGTATAGTATATTTTTATTGTGGAAACAATTTGAGTCCTGACAAAGATATTCTCCCCTCCTGGTGTTCAGCCCTGCCCTGCCGTGTAGCGGCAGCTGTCTGAGCAGACTACCAGTCTCAGGCTTGGGAAACTTGAAGCTGAGCCATCCCTGGAGGGCCTAACTCGGAGTCGAGAAGTAAGGGTTAAAGCCATTTATTTCTCTAATTTTCATTTATCGATTAATCTCTCCATTTCTTATTTCTCATCTGGCCATTCATACATTAATACAATCAAATGTTTCGTCATTCTCCCAGACATTGATAAACTGACAATCTGACCCAGATACTATTTTTTTAATTTTTTATTGTAAAGATACTATACAGAGGGTTACAGTTACATGAGCAAGGTAATGAGTACACTTCCTATTGAGCATTGTTATCCCTCCATTGTTTTCCCCCTACCATCCCTTTCTTCCCTACCTAGCTACTATTTTAGATGCATGGGGAGAATTGTGTGTGTGTGTCTGTGTGTCTGCCTGTTTGTGTACTGGGGCTTTGAACTCAGAACCTGGTGCTCTTGGCTTTTTGTGTTCATGGCTGGCATTTGACATGAGTCACAGTGCCGATGCTGGTTAATTGAAGAGCCTCTTGGATTGGTCTGTCCAGGCTGGCTTAGATCTCAGCCTCCTGAGTAGCTGGGATGACAGGCGTGCCGGGGAGTCACTGGGCAGTGAGGCTGCTCCCTGTGGAGACAGCGCAGTTACTGCTGCAGGGGCTGGAGGAGTGGCGGGGCGGGCAGTGACCTGGCACGCAGCGTGCGGGCGTTGTTTTAGGGGAGGTGTCCTGGTGGACTTCCTGGAGGGAGGGGCATGCGGGAGACCAGGTGAGGGCCTCAGTGGGGCCTCAGTGACTGGCTGCCAGGCAGGAGGAGGAGCAGGGTGGGGAATTCCAGAATTGGGGTCCCATCAAGGTAGAGACGAGGATGGCAGTGGCCCACGAACTTTATTCAGGCGGCCCCCGGGGGTGTGGGGCGAGCTGGCGGCTGGCAGCGGGCTCAGCTGGCAAAGGCAGCGCAGGCTTGCAGGACGTGCGGTGGGCGGTCTCTGCGGGTCTAAAACTGCTTCTCTGGCCCCACGAGCGAGGCTCTGAGGGGCGTGTGTGGCTGTGCTGAGCAGTCTTCTCTCATCAGTGGGGGGCTGGGGAGGGGCGTTCCCCTCCCCCGCCAGGTCCGCTTGTGGGCGTCGGGGCCCCTTAGATTGCAGAGCCAGGCACCAGTGAGCCTGCCTGCCTGGCAGCCGGTTCTGAACCCAGCTGCTGCACACCCCGCTGCTGTCCTGGGGAGAGAACCCTGCTTACCAGGGAGGGGACCTCCTGTCCTGGGGGAGGGGCCTTGCTGCCTGGGGGAGCCTGCTTGGCTCATGGTGGCCTTGGCGGGCAGTGCAGAGGCTGTGGCGCGGGGTGGTGTGGATGGGGGAGGAGGGCGGCGCTGGGGCCTGGGCAGCTCTACGCAGGAGCTGTGCCTGCTCTGGGTCCCATTGTGCCCTTGGTCGGGCTGCGGAGCCTGAAGGGCCAGCAGGGGGCACTGCAGCCCTTTTCTCTAGGGTGGGGAAGCACTTGGCTCAGCCCTGGCCCGTGCTGTCTCAGGTGGCCTCCCTGGACACGGTGGTCAGTGTGCTGCGGTCGTGGGATCTGAGCCTCACGGAAGCCATGCTCCAGAACATGGAGGCCGAGCGGCAGCGCAGGGACCAGGAAGCCCAGAAGCATAAGGAGGCTGAGGCCAAGCGGTCAGTGTGTGCGCACACACGTGTGCATGTGCAGAGGGGCACACTTGTCTGTGAGAACATGTGTCTGGGACAGGGTGGGAGGGGAGGGCTCCTCTGACTCAGCCCCCGGCCTCCAGAATAAATGTCAAGGTGCAGCAGCTGGCCAAGGAGCAGCAGCGGTGTCACAAGGAGGTGAGTCGGGGCAGGCGGGCGGCCCCTGGCTGTAGGGCACTGGCCAGCACCTGAGGTCCACCTGCGTGTCCAGCTGCAGCAGGCCTACTGTGAACTCAACCGGAGGATCACGGAACACGATAAGTGTGAGCGGAAGCACATGGGCAAGACAGAGCTCACGCTGCAGGTAGCGCCGCACGCAGGGCCCCTGCTCCACGCAGCTCCAGCCTAGCTTTTGTGTTCCCTAGGCCGGGGTGGTGGCCTTGTTTTTCCCTCCTAAACTGGCGTGTCACCTTGGAGCAGAGGCTACTCCTGGGGTCAGGGTGGGGCAAGGGCCAGGAGGCCTGGGCCGGCACTGCGCCCCAGGGAAAGCCACACGGCTGGCGGAGTCAGCATGGCCCCTCCTCCAGGCGATCAAGGATGCGGAGGCCCAGGTGGACTGGCTGCGGCAGGAGGCCCAGAAGGCCGAGGAGACACTGGCCATGGCCAGGCTGGAGCTTCGGGAGCAGACCCAGGAGGGTGGGCGGGGCTCCAGGGAGAAGCTGGGGGCCTGGGGGACAAGGCCAGGGTGGGGGCTGACCCAGGGTGGGCGGGGCCAGGGGTAGATTGAGTGATCTGTGTCACATCCCCAGAGGAGGAGGAGGTGCCGGGGCTGAGGTGCCGCGTCAGCGAGCTCCACGACGTGCTCATGAAGGACGTGGGGGACCGCATCCTCGCCGATGGCCGGTCAGTGCTCCGGCTGGGCGTGGGTGGCCCCTGTGCCTGCAGAGCTGACTGGCGGCTGTCCACAGGTGGCCTCTCATCATCGACCCTTCAGGACAGGCGGCCACCTTCCTACGCTACCAGGACACCAACTACGTGGACACTGTGAACCCTGAGCACCTGAGGCCCGAGAGGATCCGGCTGGCTCTGCTGGGGGCGCTCAGGTGAGGCGGGACAGGGTGCGGCGCTGGCCCAGCCCCGCCCTCACCGGCGCTGCCCACAGGTACGGGAAGCCGCTGGTGTTTGACCTGCGGGAGATGGACCTGCTCCCCGTGGTGCAGCAGCAGCTGGAGGCCGTGCAGCCGGGGCTGGCGCAGGCGCTGCTGAGCCGGGAGTTGCTGGCGCAGGAGCGGTACCTGGAGCTGCTGCGGCCGGCCGACGGCCCCGAGTACGAGCCGTCTCAGTTCCAGGCGGCGCGCCTGGCCCACTTCCGCCTCTTCGTAGTCACCTGGCTGCAGTGGCCGCCGGCCGAGCAGCTGCAGCTGCTGCTCCCCGTGCGGGTGCAGCTGCCCAGCCCAGGCCTCCTGTTGTCCGGCCAATGAAGCAGCCGGCGGGCACCGTGCCCGCTGCCTGGCCAGTCCCCACGCCCTGGCAGCTCCACCCACCGGAGGCCTGGCCTGGGCAGAGACAGGAGGGTCACCTGGACACTTACAGGGCCTAAGGGAGCCGGGCTGGTGGGTGGACAGACAGACAGGAGGTAAAATGTAGTTAACTTTATTCTCCTTAAACCACAAAATAGAGTCTTTGGTTGTACAAACGTCACTAGTTACAGTCTTGCCAAGAGGTCCTGGCTTGGGGGAGGGTTAGTCGGAGGTGGAGCTCCTGAGGGATCTCTTTAAAATGCTAACACCCAGGTTAAAAGACTTGGGGCAGGAGTGGCGACGGGGGCCCCCACCCCAAGTCCGGGGAGGCAGCCGCCCCTAGGAGGGCACGGGGCCCAGGCCGCGGCGCCCTGGCCGCACGGCCCGGCGGCTGCTGCACAGTGTCACATCTTCGGGGCTTACGGCACCGGGCGAAGGCCTGCCCAGGAGAGCCAGGGCTACCTCCCTGTCCTCCTCCTGTGGGCCTGGGGGCAGAGACAGCAGCTGTGAGTTGGGGTCGCCAGGCACCCTGGAGCCCGCCCTCAGCCGGCTGCCAGCTCACCGGGGCTGGGAGATGGCTCTAGAGGCCGCAGCTCCTCCACGAAGTCTGGAGACTGTGATGGGAAAAAGCAGTCAAGTGCCCGGCCTGTGCCCACCGTGGGCCCGGCCCCTGCCCGGCTCCGAGGCCCACGGAGCCTATATGGGGTCAGGGCCGAGCCTGGCTTTGAAAGGGAGGCAGGCGGAGGAGTGGGGCAGGAAACAGGAAAAGGGCGGGCGGGAGCGTGGGCCAGCGGCGTGCATCTGGGCCGGGAGGCCCGAGTACCTGGATGTCATAGACAGGTCTGGAAGAAGGCAGGGCTGCAAATGCCCTGTAGTCAAACTTCTTTCCAGACAGAGGCTTGGGAGGGCAGCGTGAGGGGGGGAGGCAGAGAGTGTGCAAGGAGGAGGTGAGGGGGGAGGCGCGTGGACCCCCCTCCCCCGGGCTGGGGCTGCCAGCTCCTCACCAGGCGTCCGGGGGAGGTGCTGGTCTGGATGCCAAGGTCTGCAGGATGAAGAGCAGGTGAAGCCCCTGCAGGAGGCCAGACCCCGCCGTGCCCGGCCTCCCCCTCCTCCCCCAACCACAGACCTTCCAGGGGAGGAGGGGACGGGGTGGGAGCTGGCGACGGGGACTCGGCCAGCCGCTCCAGGGGCCCTCGCTTGGCCCTGCCCTCCTGGGACTTGCTAAGAACCATCTGTGCTCGGAGAGCATCCTGCTCCAGAGACTTCATCCTGCAAGGATGGAGCGGTGAGGCTGGGCGGGGCCGGGTGGGGCCGGGAGAGGCCGAGGCGGGGCTCACCTGGCGGCCCTCCACAGCGCCCGCTTCTCAGCCTCCAGGGCCCGGCGCTCTGCGGGTGACAGGGCCCGCTCGGGTGCCCGCAGCTCTGGGCTCTGCATGCGCAGCCGCTCCTGATGGCGCCGCTCCGCTTTGGCTGTCCGCACTGGGGCACCGCCGCTTGGAGGCTGGGGAGATGCTGGGCTGGGGCTGGGCCTGGGGAGCCAGACCGGAGCACAGTGAGGGGGGGGCCTCTGCGGGGGGAGGGAGGGCTCGCCCGCCCTGTCTCACCCTCTCGGGGGGCCAGGGTCTGCCCAGGGCGGCTCGTCCTCCGGCAGCTCCTCGTCCAGGGCCGCCCGGCCTGGGCTGGGCCCCTCGATGTGCTGCGCGGTGGCCTCTTCCTGCAGCATCTGCGCCCGCTTCTGCTGCAGCTTGCGGGCTGCGGGGCGGCGGAGGGTCAGTCCCTGCAGCCCGGGCCCGCCCGGCCATGCGCACCTCACCCGCGCCTCACCTTCCTCTTCCTGCATCTTCCTCAGGTCATCCGCACCCACCAGGGACACGCGCTTGGGGTGGCCCTCGGCCTGGGGTGCCCGCACATCCAGCTCAAAGTACTTCTGCCGCTCTCGGAAAGACAGCTGCTCGGGGGAGGCTGCTGGCCCAGGCGTGGGGGGCTGGGCGGAGGCGGGCTCTCAGACTCGGCAGGCCTTCCTCCCGCGGGCCCCCCCCCCCCCCCCC